CATACTAGTAAAAACTAACTCCATAGACTCACAGAAGAAGATAGTGATAGAGGCAATATCTTTAATAAGTTTGAGTATAAAAATGAGTTGTTAGAGAAGATAGAGAAATACTACACTAGCCTAATAACTACTACTTCAACAACAGATAGTAATAAACTATTTGTAAATCCTTAGGCAAATACCTATAGCCCAACTGAGTTTTTAGCATCAATAGAGAAAATTCTGACTAAAAATCAGGAAAAAGAGAAGGATAATGGGATAAAACCTCTATAAATACAATGTTTACAAAAGGATTAATTAAAGAAAAGTTAACTAAAGTGAAAGAAACAAAGCAGAAAAGCTACTTAAAAATTATGAATACTTATTTGCTAGAAGACTAGATAAATTAAGTTAAATGAATCTAGTCTAATACTAGATAGATACTGGAAACACCTATTCAATTAAGCAAGCTATATATCATTTGAGCTTTAAAGAATATGAATTTCTAAACAGCAAGTTAAAGAAATATTAAATAGTAGTCTAGTTAGGGAATTATATAGCTCATGGATCTCTCCAATAGTTCTGATATCTAAAAAAAATAAAAAACTTAGAGTATACATTAATTATAGAAAACTCAATGCAGTAATAAAAAAAGATGAGTACCTTATTCTCAGAATAGAAGACCTACTTGAAACTTTTGAAGAAGCCTATTGGTTTTCTAGTTTAGACCTAGCTAGTAGTTATTAGCAGGTCAAAATAAATAAAAAGAATAAGTAGAAAACAGCCTTTGTCACTAAATTTGATATATTCAAATTTAATATAATGCCTTTTGGCTTATACAATACTTCTGCTACTTTTTAGAGATTAATAGACTGAATATTTTAGGAGTATATTAGTAAGTTTGTAATAGTATAGTTAGATGATATTATAATATACTTCTGAACTTACAAGGAATATTTAGAATATTTAAGATTAGTTTTTACTAGCTTATAGAGAGCCTGACTAAAGCTTAATACAAAAAAGTATTAGCTCTTTAAGAAGTCATTAAACTTCTTAGGATATATTATTAGTAGGAAGGAGTCTAACCAAATAACAATAATATAATCAAAGTTTAGGAGTTCTCAGTATCATGAAATCTTAGACAGCCAAAAGGATTTATCAATTTATTCTCTTATTATAGGTGATT